AAATTTCTTTATTGCCACCAAATTTACCATTTATTCGAAAAATAAAACTTCATTCTGATTTTATTATTAAAGCATCCCTCACAAATAATGGTAATAAAAATTATCTTCGGGTGTATCTATTTTTATTAACGGATCTTTTATTGGTTTGTGAGCAAAATCAAAATTCCAATTTTAAATTCAGTTTATTATATACACCATTAAGTGGGAAACATTTGGAAGTCACCGATATTAGTAATGGAGAAAGAGGTAAATTATAATTATAATTATAATTATTATTATTATTATTATTTAATTTTAATTATTTTTATATGGGTTTTTTTTCAATAGGAATGATAAAATTGGATTTTTTAAAGAAAGAATCTTTAATATTATTTCCTAATTCAGTTAATGTCAAAAATATTTGGTTGAATGAATTATCCAATACTATAAAGTTTGTCAAAAATGGTATATTATTTTAAATAATTCTTTCATGAATTTTTATAATATAATAAATAAATAAAATACTTATAACAATTCTTTTTTTTTAAAAAAAATCTCTAAGTGAACAATCCAATTATTACTACCTCTCAACATCCTTCTCAACCTATTCCTTCATCAACATCAAAATTAACATCAATACCATCATCAACACAGAATGAATTAAGAACATCATCCAATAGTTTCAATAGTTCTAACAGTTCTAATGATTCTAATTATTACAATAGTTCAGAACGTGAATCATCAACATCATTATCATCATTATCATCAACATCAACATCATCATCATCAAATAATATTTTAATTCCAAGAATTGGACTTCCATCAAGTCCTTATCTTGGAGGAAATACTTTAAATAATATACATAATTTACGTTCCCGTACACCTGAACCTCTTCGTTATTCGGGAGGTAAAGAATATCCCGGAGATATTCGTATTAATCCTAAATCACCAACATCATCAATATTATCATTATCAACATCAATATCATCATCAACAACATCATCATCATCATCGTCATCAATATCATCATTTAAAAAATCTAGATGGGGATTTCCACGTTCAAGTTCAATGACTTCATTAACTTCAATGAAAAGTTCAACATTTAAAGAAACTGTTTATCAAACACAATCTTGTTCAGTGGATTATTGGATTAATGAAAGTTGGAAATCATTTGCAGAAAATTGTACAGTTGAAGTTAGAATTACTACAACGATGGTAGGTTGTTGGTCTATTATATTACAAAAGAGTAATAGGATGGTACTTAATTCTTGGATTTATTTATATACAACAATACATCGAGATTCTTCAACTCAAATTAGTATTTCTTGTAAAATGGATCAAAATAAAGAATATTATAGAATTAATTGTCCATGTTCTTATGATTCCGATCAACTATTTCAACATTTAATTGATGCTCGAAAATTATTGATACAAAAGAGATCAAATACTCCAACTCAAGAATTTTTAATTTCAAGATCATCCTCATTACAAAAGAATGATCAAGGATTAATTTCAAGAACATTTTCATTACCTACATTAAAACAACAAAAGATTAATCAAAAAATATCCAAAAGTTCTAAAAATAATGTTAATAATAATAATAATAATAATAATAATAATAATAATAATAATAATAATAATGTTATACCAAGAACATTACCATTAAAAAATAATGGAATAATTATTGTTAAAGAATCAGAACAAACTTTTAAATTATTACTTGAATGTAAAGTAAAAATTTTTTCACAAAAAGATCATGGAAAATGGACAAATCTTGGTTGGGGAATTATGAAATTAATAATGGAATTACCATTTCATGAAATTCGAATAAATATTGGTAATGAAAAACAAATAAAATTGATAGATTCCATTGTATCATCTGATGGTGTGGAAAGATTAAATAAAACAAATATCGCTATGACTTTGAATAATTTTAATTCGGGATTAAAGAATATTTATATGATACAATTGAAAGATGAATCAACTACTGTAAAAACTTATAAACTTATGAAAAATAAAAAATAATAATAAAATAATAAAAAAATATATTATTAAATAAATTAAATAATATATAAATTATTATTTTATTATATATTTGTTCTGCTAATATTATTATATTCTGTTCTCTATACTGTTCATTATATATATATTTGTATTTAAAATTAAAGTTATTTCTTTTTGATCATCATGCAGTGAAAAAGCGAATTTTAATTAATTCTAAAAATACTTTGATTGTTGTTATTGCTTCACATTTATTACATTCTATTACATTCTATTACATTCTATTACATATTACATTTTATTTTCGTTTTATCATTTGTCATAGATGATAATACAGCAGCAAAAGGATAATTATTTTTCACGAAGAATAATAATAATAATTCACGAAGAATAGCAATAACGATTCATTGCAATAATGATTTATTTCACTTATTGCACTTATTAAATTTATTACACTTATTACACGAGTATATCTTCTCTTCCCCCCCCCAAAAAAAAATCATGACAATAACAATAACAATCCACGATATCCTTGGTTTGGTGTTCCACATTTATTATACATTTTTATTTGTTTACTTATTTACTTATTTACTTATTTATTTATTTATTACTAATTTATTATAATTTTGATTTTTACGTATATTTATTTCAGTTTATTTATTATTAAAGATTTTAAGATGTAAGAAAACGTAGATTTGTTATATTAAATCTACTATGATGATAATATTTTGATCATTACAATGCATTATTATCCAATAGAAAAAAAAAATAAATAAAGAAAATAAAAAATAATAAATTATAATAAACTATAATAAGATAATGAGATAATGATAATAACTAAATTTAATTAAACTGTAAAATTAATGAATTATTAAATTAATAATTAAATTAAATTAAAATTAAAAAATTAATGAATGAAGCCAAGAATAGATCAAAAATAATAACAAATGAATAAATTTGGGTTGTAAGAAGAAGAAAATAAAACAATGGGTAAAAATATTCTACACTATTCCACACTATCCTTCTATTATTCATTTATTATTCCTCTATTATTCCTCTACTTTTCTCCTCCTCTATTATCATTATTATTATTATTATTATTATTTCACAATTTTAATTTCTTTTTACTTCTCATTTATTCATTTTAATTATTCTTCTATTATTCCACAAGATTCTTCTATTTTATTCCATTTATTCTAAAATTATTATTCTTATTCTTTTTATCTTTTTCTCTTCTTCTATATTCAATATCATAAGCAAGTATAATAACAAGCATATAATAACGAGCATATAATAACAAGCATATAATAACGACAAGACAAGCGTAAACAACAACAACAGAACTCATCTTACCCTGAAATAGATACATTGTTACGATTCAAATTTTGTGATTGTCTTAGACTATAAATAATAAACGACGTATCACTATTGTTTTTATTAATTCTATTGTATTTTCCATTTCCATAATCTTTTGTCTTTTTTTGTAATTTTTTATTCAATTTTATTCACTTTGCATTACATATTTTTTTTTTTTTGTATCTCTTATTATTATTATTTTTTTTTTATGTCGCTCATTTTTATTTTTGATTTATTCTCTTCTATCCTCTTATTCATAACTCATTCACTCACTTGCGCACACTCACACACACATT